TGTTACTTCCATAACTACATACATGGGAATTATAGTATAGGTATTTGCATTCTGTATTTAAAGTGCTTGATAGTTCCATCTAGTGGTGTACATACGACAGAAGGTTCAGTTTTGCTACTTAATATTTGAGGGACAGAGTGTTTTAAAACTAGGTTTTTTAAATTAATTTTATTGTCAAGGTGATATACTTAGGGGTTACAGTTACATAAGTAAAGTAGTGAGTACATTTCTTGTTGAACTTGTTACCCTCTCCCTCATTTTTCTCCCACTTTCCCTTTCCCTCCAACCCCCCTCATAAAACTAGTTTTATAAGATTAATGCAATAGGGTAAGATTTAAAAGGGATTTTATTGTAAAACAATTCTTATATATAACATAAACACCCACACAATAAAATAAACGGCATCAAAAATTTAAACCTTCAGCAAGTTTCTAGTGGCTCACACCTCTAATCCTAACTACTAAAAAGTCCGAGATCTGTGGATTCCAGTTCAAAGCTAGTTCAGCTGACAAATCAAAGAGAATCTGATCTCTAGTTAATTAGCAAGAAGCAGGAAGTGGAAGTCTGGTTTAAATGGTAAAGAACCAGCTTTGAGCAAAAAAATAAAAACTGAATTCAAGCATTAAATTAAACATTGTATCAAAAAACTATCAAGAAAGTAAAGCATTCCACAAAATAGGAGAAAATATTTGAAATTATTTTTTCTTGTAAGACTAATATCCAGAATATATAAAGAACTCTTACAACTTAACAGCAAAATGACAACCTAATTTAAAAAATCAAGTCAAGGAGTTAAATAGACTTTTTCTCAAAAAAAATCTATAAATATCCAATAAGCACATGAAAAGATGCTCAACATCATTGGTAATTAAATAAATGCAAATCAGACCCTGAGTCCAAACCCCAGTATCTCCAAGAGAGAGAGAGACTGAGACAGAAACAAATAAAAATGACAGTAAGATATTATCACCTGTCAATTAAAATGGCTTTCATAATTAAAAAATTTTTAATGTAAAGTTTGGCAGAGATATGGAGAAGTTGGAGCCTCCATTCATTGCAAACTGATCCTTAAATTAAACATAAAATTCCCATATGACCTAGTAATTTCACTCACAGGTGTATTCCTAGTTGTCAAAGCTAACATAAAGGTAGAGGTAAATTTTTAAAAGCAAAACAAAGATTTGGGAGTAGTATAAAAAAATTAAGATTATAATCAGGGTACATGTACACAGAGTGAAATGGCCACTGGAATGTCTAGAAAACAAAGGAAGGATTGGTGGTTTTGTTAGGACAAATAAATCTAGCAAGTCATTATGAAAGAAAATTCATTGGACTTTCTATTCTTGGAGCTGGCGAGCTCTTATTGGTGAGCAGCAGCTGTCACTCTACAAATCTAGCTGGTTGCCAGTTTTGTCAGTTGCTAGGAAAAAATGGGAACTTAAGAGATAAGATGAACTGTTTTACTGAATTGTCCTAGCAGAGTTCCTGGAACAATCATTAGGACCTGAGTGTTCTTTTCCCCATGACTTTTGGGCTCTGTTTTAGATGTGTGTGTGACAAGAATGTTTTCATTGTGTGCTGAGTTTCCACACAGGTGGTCAAATAAAAACCTGTATACTAATGTTCATAGCATTATTCATAATAGCCAAAAGGTAGAAAAGGAACTTCTCATTTAGTGATGAATGGATAAAACATAATATATTCATACAATGGAATATTATTCAGACATAAAAAGGAATGAAGTGTGATTATATTGATGAGCCTTGAAGATGTTATGCTAAGTAACAGTAGCCAGGCACAAGACCACATACTGCATGATTCCACTTATATGAAGCATCTGGAATAGAGACAGAAAGCAGGTTAGTGCTTGTTGGGGAATGGAGAGAAGAATAAGGAGTAACTGCTTAATAAATACAGGGGTTTGGTTTGGTTTGTCCATAGTGGAGGCCCTCAGGGGCCTATTCTTGCTCAGTAGACACTCTACCACTTGAGCTGTTCCCTGAACCCTAGATAGGCAGTTTGGACTGCTACTCACCAATTTATGTTTCTCAAATAGCTGGAATGACAAGCATGACTGCAAGGCCAACTTTTATTGATTGAAATAGAAGTCTCACTAACTTTTTGTCTAGACTGACCTCAAACTACAATCCTCCTAATTTCTACCTCCTGAGTAACTGGGATTGTAAGCATTAGCCACACTGCATTTAGCTCAGGAGTTGTTTTAAGTGGGGATGATGCAAGTGCTCTGAAATTAGATAGTGGTGATGGTTGTACATACATGAAAGTATTAGAGGACACTGAATTATACACTTCAAATTATTTAAATTGTCACTTGTATATTAGGTGAATGTTGCCTCAATGATTTTCCTCTGTGTGTGTGGGGGGGGTATATGTGTGTGTATGTGTGTGTGTGTACCAGAGCTTGAGCTCAGGGTTGCTTGATCACACCTGGGCACCTGGTGCTCTACCATTTGAGCCACACCTCCAGTCCAGCTTTTTCCAAGATAATTAGAGATAAAATCTTGCAGACTTTTCTCAGGAGGTTGGCTTCAAACTTTGATCCTCCAGGTCTTAGCCTACTGAGTAGCCAGGATTACATGCCTGAACCACTGGTGCCTGACTGGTTTGTTTGTTAGAGTGTTGTTTTTAGTAAGGTCTTCCTGTGTAGTCCAGACCGGCCTGGAACATGTGAGCTTTCTGCCTCTGCCTTGGCCTTGAATGCAGTACCATGCCTGCCTTGCCTGTTTTTTTTCAGTAATTTTTTTAAAAATTGGCATACATTAGTAGTACAGGGAATTTTATTGTGATAATTATATACTGTGTACAGTGTACTTTGATCAAGTTCACCTTCTCTGTCATATTCCCTTACTACACTCTTTTTTTTTTTTTTTGCCATTCCTGGGGCTTGAACTCAGGGCCTGGGCACTGTTCCTAAGCTTCTTTTGCTCAAGGCTAGTACTCTACCACTTGAGTCACAGTGCCACTCCCAGCTTTATATGTTTATGTGGTACTGAGGAGCCTAACTTAGGGCTTCATACATACTAGGCAAGCACTCTACCAATAAGCCACATTCCCAGTCCCCTCATTATCAAACAGTATTTGCTGTGTTTTATTGTGTTACATTAATTCCGTGTGTGTGTGTGTGTGTGTGTGTGTGTGTGTGTGTGTGTGTACTTTGATCCTTCACACTCCTTACTTACCCTTTACTTTCTTCCTCTTCCCTCTCACTGATCCTCTAGTCTCCCTTTACACTCTCATCCCTTTATCATCAACCACAATATCATCAACATCATTATCATTTTAAGTCTGGATTCTACAAACGAGCAAGAATGCAGTATTTGTTTTTGTGAGCTTGGTTTATCTTATTCAACATGATAATCTCCAGTTCAAGTTATTTTCCTGAAAACAATGCAGTTTGATTCCTTATTCTTATCTCAGCTTTTAAGAAAACCTCCGTGGACTGACAAGTTATAATGTTATTATTACTGTAGATACTGTTTTCAACTGTTGTTGCTACTATTTATGTATTCTATTCTTTTTTGGGGGGTGGGGGTTGGGGCTGGTACTTGGGCTGCTGTCCCTGAGCTTTTGTGCTCAAGGCTAGGATTTTATCAGCTTGAACCACTGCTCTGCTTCCTGCTTATTTAGTAGTTTATTGGTGATCATCGTCTCTCAGACTTTCACACCCAGATGGCTTCAAACCTCAATCCTCAGATCTCAGCCTCCTGAGTACCTAGAATTGTACAGATGCAAGCCGCCGGCATCCACATATTCTGTTCTGCTTTTTAAGATTATTTAAAGTGGGGGGACTAATGTGGGGCCTTTAATTTAACTACTTAGGAAGCTGAGATCTGAGGATCAAGGTTCAAAATCAGCCCTAGCAGAAAAGGCTGACAGATTCTTAGCTCCAATTAACTACACAAAGAAAAGCCAGAAGTGGAGCTATGGCTCAAGTTATAAGAGTGCTAGTCGAGAACAAAAAAGCTGAGAGACACTGCTTAAGTCCTGAGTTCAAGCTCCAGGACTGGCATGCACAGGGCCACGTGTGCGCACGCATGCACACAACACTCACACACACACACACACAAGGTTATTTGATATATTTTATATATTTGATTTGGGCAATTTGTAATTTGATACCTGTATACATCTTACTGACTATAAATAATATCATACCTTTATCATTCCTTAAAATATTCAATATTTTTCTTTTTTTGTTTTAGAGGGGGCTGCCATAAATGTGTAAATAAATAAGAATGCTTAAAACTCTCTATGGATACTGTACTTGTGTTTCTTCCCCAAAACAAGATCTCTGAGTCACTTTTCTTAATATTTCTTTCTTTTTTTTTTTTTTTTTTTGTCTGTCGGTCATGGGTTTTGAACTCTGGGCCTGGGCGCTATCCTTCAGTTCTTCAACTCAAGGCTAGTGCTCTACCACTTGAGCCATAGCACCACTTCCGCTTTTCTTAATATTTCTATTGTGTTTTATTTCTGACCATTCTTTAACAATATATACTGATTTATAATTCTACCAATAATGGGTGAGGAGACTGGAGATTAATGTTTATTGAGTGTCTAACTTGATTCTAGGCTCTGTCTACAGAAGGTAATAGGAAGATGATCAGAGATCAGAACCCAAGTGCTTTTGTCTCCAGGTTCTGTCTATTTTCCCCTTCACTTAGCAATATTAGGTTTTACCTGTGTCAATTACTGTTTATTAGAGTGATTCACAATTTCCCAAGTATCATCTGTTAATTATAATTTTGGGTGACAATGTTGTCAGACACCTTGTATTCATATACTGTTTTGTAGAATGGGAACTTCTTTGTATAACTACTTAAAGATAATAATGAAAAATTTTTAAAAAACCAACAGCCCAATTTAAACCAAAAAACAAAAAATCTATCTTTTGTCCATTCATATTAGTATATTTTAATTTAAATTAAACAAAGGCATTATATGTCAACATTTTTTTACTTTTGTTTACTTTTCTCTTCCAGGCTCTTGATGGAAATGTATATGATCACCTCAAAGATTATTTAATAGTTTTCAGTAGGACTGAGCTGGAAACATGCCAAGCTGTGCAAAACACATTTCAATTTTTATTAGAAAACTCAAGCAAGGTAAGTGCAACAGGTACTATTATCCATTTTAGAATCTAATGTATTTTTGCATACATTTCAAAATGAAGAGATCAGCAATATTAGAAGAAAATTTAAAGGATAATTTTGTGTAAGCAGCATCTGCTTTGGGTTAGGCTTTTGCTTTTATTTTTTTGGTGTGGGAGTTGTTTGTTTTTGGCGAGAGCCTGGAATATGGTAGGCAAGTGTTTTACAATCATTTTGAGCATTTTTTTTTTAAGATGAGATCTTGCTAACTTTTCCCAGGCTGGTGTCTGACCTTCAGACTTTTGTCATCTCCTGGAGTAGCTGGACTTACATGTATGTGCCTGTAATGCTAAGCATTCTTTGTAATGAAGTTGGTAAAACTGGTGCCATAACCTTGAACGAAAAGAGAGGTAATGCAACTGGCCAGCTGAAATATCAGTTCACTGCCATATACATTGCCTTTGAGAAAAATGGTTGAAGAGTTTTGTCTTCCACTCTGATTTTGAATCCACTCAACTCAGTCATTTGACAAAATAACAGGTCACATATCAATGCCAAGAAAAATAAAGGAACACAAAGGGGAAACTGATAACTGTCTTGAAACTAAATACTATCATGTCTTTTTTTTTTATAAATTAAGCATTTTTCCTATATCCTATCATTCATTCATAGTGGTCTTTTGTTTAAAATGTTTATCAGCTTTGATATCATGCCACCAAGGGTGGAGGAAACTTTTTCTGCCAAAGGCCATTTATAACATCATCTGAAGGACTTATAAAATTATCAATACAGGCAGACAACTGTGGGCAACTGACAAGAAGTGTACTTAAGTGTATATGTCTGTCTTGTCATGTACCAAATAATTTTGGGTGCCTTATATGGCCCCAGATGTTACCTACCCCTATGAGAAAATAAAATTTATTTTCTTCAGGATCTGGTAGATTACAATATTTTGCCATAGTGGAACTATAATCGAAATAAATTATTCCTGTAAAAAAATGTTATTTTCTTTCTGATAAATATGTACTATATGCTTCCTGCATTTTGTAACTGTTACTTTAAAGGTCTAGTTCAATTCTCTTTTTCAGCACAGTAGAGAGGGAAATGCTAATACCTTTAGAAACTCTTTAGAGTATTCATTATCACAAGACAGTCCAAAGACATGAAAGAAAAGGAATGTAGACTCTTTATCTTTTTTCTTTTCTATTTTTGGTGCTAGTCCTGGAGCTTGAACTCAGGGCCTAGACACTGTCCTGAGCTTCTTTTGCTCAAAGCTAGCCCCACTTATGGCTTTTGATGGTGGCGAATTCGAGATAAGTGCCTCATGGACGTTCCTGCCCTAGGTGTGATCCTCAGATCTTAGCCTCCTGAGTAGCTATGATACAAACATGAGCCACAAGCTCCAGGCTTGAGATTCTTTATCGTAAAGGTACCTCTCTGTAGTACCTGAGCTTCTAATTCTGTTTTGAGAAAAACATTAAAAGTGCTAAGTTGAAAGACATAAAAACATTATTGGCCTTATATTTTAATGTCTTTCTCATATATCTTATTTTCCCGTATTTTTACCACCAGAACACAGTAGTGTATAGAAAGGAGGAATGGATAGATAGTAAGATTTCTGAAAGAAAAGAAAAGTGTTATCCACAGAATAATGGTAATTGGTAAATAGGAGTTTATTAGACCATTCTTTTTATTATAGTGTATAAATATATATATTTGAAAATTTTCATAAATGTTAGACAAAAATTCTACAAAATTATGTTGACTTCATTCCTTCTATAGTTGATTTTTTTTTTATTCCTGAACAGATTTTTGTTTTTTAGTCAGTCATTGGGCTTGAACTCAGGGCCTTGTGTGCTATCCCTGAGTATTTTTGTTCAAGGCTAGCACTCTACTAGTTTGAGCCACAGCTCCACTTCTGGTTTTCTGGTGATTAATTGAAGACATGAATTTCATGGCCTTTTGTGACCTGGCTAGCTTTGAATTTTGATCTTTAGATCTCAGCCTCCTGAGTAGCTAGAATTACAGGTGTGAGCCTTGAGTGCCTGGCTCCTGAGCAAAATTTTTATTTTTATTGGTCAATTTATTTTTTTCCCATGACTTGGGGTACATTTTTTCATATACTCAATAACTTGTATTTTCTTAGACAGTTGTTTATTTCAATTGTTATTACATTTAATGACACAAGTTTTTTTTGTTTTTTTTTTTTTTGGTTTTAGGGGTTTTTTTTTTTGCCAGTCCTGGGGCTTGGACTCAGGTCCTGGGCACTGTCCCTAAGCTTCTTTTGCTCAAGGCTAGCCCAGCATACTCCTGGCTTTTTCTGTTTATGTGTTACTGAGGTATCAAACCCAGAGCTTCATGCATGCTAGGCAAGCACTCTACCACTAAGCCACATTCCCAGCCCCGTGGCACAGGTATTTTATAAGCTTATTTGCTTGCAGAGTTTTAATACCGTGTTTGTTTTATTTTGATAAATCATACCAGTCCATTTTCCTACTTTTTCTGGAACCAACTTTTGTTCTGCTTCTCAATGTTCTGTTTATTGAATTTTATTTTATTTTCAGTCGTGGGGTTTGAATTCTGGGCTTGGGCTCTGTCCCTGAGCTCTTTAACTCAAGGCAAGCACTCTATCTCTTAAGCCACTTCTGGTTTTGTGGTAGGTTATTGGAGATAAGAGTCTCACAGACTTTACTGCCTAGGCTGGCTTTGAACTGCATTCCTCAGATCTCAGCCTCCTAAGTAGCTAGGATTACAGGCATGAGCCACCAACACCTGGCCTGTTTATTTAATTTTTGCCTTCATCTACAATTTTTCTTTCAGTGTTCTTAATGTTCTTTTTATTTCTCCATGCATATTTTTCAATGTAAGTAGTTTATTTTCAGTGTTTCTCGTTTTCTGGTACATCCATTTGATTCTCAATTATTTTTCTGCTTTTACTGCAGTCTCTGACATGTACAACTTTTGTTGTTATTTCTCTATTTCCCCGTCATTTGCCCATGAATTATTTAGAAGTGAGTTCTCAACAACAACAACAAAATGAGTTTTTCAGTTTATATTCAATAGGCATATAGGCAGGGTGACTTTTTTTATTTTCATTTTTATAGAAACTATATTTTGTTGTATTGTACAACATTTGATTATCCCCTGGAAAAAAAATCTTTAAAATTTCTTTTTCCAAGAAAAAGTTAGATTTTATATACCATCCTTATTTTTAAAGCACATAATTATAACAGATAGCTAATATCATAATGCATTTAATTTTCAGGGAGTTTTTTAGCACCACTTACATCCAAATCCTATGAGATTAGCATGATCATGTTCATTTTATGGGATAAAACACAGACTCAGGACTTGCCAGAGGTAACACACTCATTCACAGTATTTTCCATTCTGTGGGTCGTGCCTACTCTATTATGTTAGCTCCTTAGCTTCTTTTAATTGAAAACGAATTAAGAATTTATGAACTACTTTGGACACGTAAGTAGATAAACTTCCATTTTCTGTATTCACTCACGAGTATCTCACTCCCCAGAGATGAGATATAATGGAGATAGATGCTTACATTTATATTGAAAGTGGTAGGAATAAATATTTAATACAAATGATATAACTAGGGGATATGCTCTTTTTGTTCCAAGTGAAAAGAACTCATACCTAACAATTTTTATGCCATGGGCTTTTCTGTTACCAAGAGGTTATTTGGCTGCTCTTGTTAAATTGCCAAAAAATAGTTCAGTGATTGATAAACCATTGAGAGGTTTGAAATTCTATGTTTTTTCATTCTATACCATTACTAATTTGTCTTTTGAGGTACAAACCTATTCTCCCACTTTCTAAAATGTAACATTCCCAAAGATATGAGATAATTTACACTGATATGACACACTATAAATTTAAGATATTCTCTGTATCTTTCATCCCCTAAATGGTAACAGCTGGTCCTAGCAGCTGTTATTAAGTTTTAATTATTTATAAAACTTGCTCTTCTTAATATTTTATGAAATACTTTGTATATGTAACTGAAGCAGATGTTGTCATAGATATTTTCACTAGGATAGTAATTCCAAAGAATAGTAAACCAATCTTTATAGTGTGTTTATACATTATTGATTTCTGTCTGCATAAGGAAACTCCTTAAAAATAATAATATAGCTTTTGAAACAATTCATTAAATAAAATACTATTCTGTGTGTGCTTTCAAATTAAAGTCTTTATTGTTATTAATACCTAAAAGACAAACCAAAAAAGTAATAAAATGAAGAGTAAAATCATATGATTCTTTCAATGGAAACAGAAAAACATATGGTAAGGAACTGGGAAAGTGGCTCAGTGGTAGAGTGCTTGTCTTGCATGCATGAGGCCCTGGGTTTGATTCCTCAGCACCACATAAGCAAAAAGAAAAAAGCCAGAAGTGGCGCTGTGGCTCAAGTGGTAGAGTGCTAGCCTTGAGCTGAAGAGCTGAGGCACAGCGCCCAGGCCCAGAGTTCAGGCCTCACGACTGGACCCCCCAAAAAAACAACAAAACTAGTAATAGAGGGCTGGGAAGGTGGCTCAGTGGTAGAATGCTTGCCTTGCATGCATGAGGCCCTGGGTTCAATTCTTCAGCTCCACATAAGCAGAAAAAGCCAGAAGTAGCGCTATGGCTCAAGTGGTAGGGTGCTATCCTTGAGCTGAAGAGCTGAGGGACAGCGCCCAGGCCCAGAGTTCAGGCCCCACAACCAACAAAAAAAAAAAGAAGAAGAAGAAGAAAACTAATAATAGAAATATAGGCCGGGCACTGGTGGCACAGGCCTATAATCCTAGCTACTCAGGAGGCTAAGATCTGAGGATCGCAATTCGAAACCAGCCCAGGCAGGAAAGTCTGTGAGACTCTTATCTCCAGTAAACCACTCAGAAAACCGCAAGTGGCACTGTGGCTCATGTGATAGAGCACTCACCTTTAGCTGAAGAGCACAGGGACAGTGCCCAGGCCCAGAGTTCAAGCCCCACGACCAACGAAGGAAGGAACGAAGGAAGGAACCAAACAGGGTAGCATTTGTGGAAAATCTACATCTAATACACTCAAAAGTACATAGAGGGCTAGGAAAGTGGCTCAGTGGTAGAGTGCTTGCCTTGCATGAGGCCCTGGGTTCGATTCCTCAGCACCACATAAGCAGAAAAAGCTGGAAGTGGTGCTGTGATAGAGTGTCAGCCTTGAGCTGAAGAGCTGAGGGACAGCGCCGAGGCCCAGAGTTCAAGCTCTATGACCGACCAAAAAAAAAGAAAAAAAAAGTAACATAGAGTATGGTATGGGCATTAGATATACAGACCAATAAAACAAAATTGGGAGCCAGAAAATAAACCCAGACTTCTGTGAGCAATTGATTGTCAGCAAAGATTTCCTGACAATTCAGTGAGAAAAGAATATTATCTCTAACCAAAAGTTCTGACTCAAATGGATTAACTATTTACAAAGAAATGAAGTTGAATTAAGTTGCATCTCTACCTCTGACAGTTTTTCATGAATTGTAATGTACTGCAAATAAATGATGAGTAAAGAAAAAGCTACAGAACACAATTTGGGTTTCTGTAAATCAAATATTGATTTCTACTGCTTCCCAAGAATATAATGCAATGATCCATCTTATCATACTGTTTGTTTTGCTGCTATATGTGTAGTAGTATATGCAAATATACATACACACACATATATATGTATATGCATATGTATATTCATCTGTACAGAAAGCAACAAATATGTATATATGTGTGCATATATATTATATGTGTGTATGTATTCATATGCACATATGTATAGGTATCTATGTATATGATGTATTTGTATAGGGGTGTGTTTTGTGTGTGTGTGTATTTCTTTTTAGTTTGTCTTCATGGTATTCTTCTTTTTTTTTTGGCGGGGGGGGGGGGGGCCGTCGTGGGGCCTGAACTCTGGGGCTGGGCGCTGTCCCTCAGTTCTTCAGGTCAAGGCTAGCACTCTACCACTTGAGCCACAGCGCCACTTCCGGCTTTTTTCTTTTTGCTTATGTGGTGCTGAGGAATCGAACCCAGGGCTTTATGCATGCAAGGCAAGCGCTCTACCACTGAGCCACCTTCCTAGCCCCTCGTAGTATACTTTAAGATAGTATTTTGAGCTCGGCACCAGTGGTGCATGCCTGTAATCCTAGCTATTCAGGAGTCTGAGATCTGAGGATTGCTGTTCAAAGCCAGCCCAGCCAGGAAATTCCCTGAAACTCATATTCGATTATCCACCAAAAAACTGGAAGTGGTGCTGTGGCTCAAAGTGGTAGATTCCCAGCCTTGAGTGAAAGCTCAGGAACAGTGACCAGGCCCTTGAGTTTAAGCATGAGGACTGACCAAAAAAAAAAAAACCCACTATTTTTTAATACAATCTTTCAAAAAGTTGTCAAGAAATGCTCTAAAAATAGGATTTTGAGCTGGGCCCTGGTGGCTCATGCCTGTAATCCTAGCTACTCAGGAGGCTGAGATCTGAGGATCCCTGTTCAAAACCAGTCCCAGGAAGAAACTCGTGAGACTCTTATCTCCAATAACCCACTACAAAACCAGAAGTGGCGCTGTGGCTCAAGTGGTAGAATGCTAGCCTTGAGCTGAAGAGCTGAGGGACTGGTGCTGGGAAAGGGGCTCAGTGGTAGAGTGCTTGCCTTGCATGCATGAGGCCCTGGGTTCGATTCCTCAGCACCACATAAGCAGAAAAAGCTGAAAGTGGTGCTGTGGCTCAAGTGGTAGAGCGCTACCCTTGAGCTGAAGAGTTCAGGGAAAGTGCCCAGGCTTGGAGTTCAGACCCCACAACTGACAAAAAATAAATTACAAAAAAAAAAAAAAAAGAGCTGAGGGACAGCACCCAGGCCCAGAGGTCAAGCCCCACGACCGACAAAAAAAAAAAAAAAAAAAAAAAAAAATGTGTGTGTGTGTGTGTGTGTGTGTGTGTGTATGTATGTATATGATTTTGTATTAGGAATAGGATTATCTGACAATTTCCTAGTGGACAGGAATCTTCATAAAACAGACTGAGGAGGCCCATAAAACTTAAAGGATAGGAGGAGAAACTATAAGAAGTAACACACTTCTCTTTCTTTCCATCTCATAACCTCCCCCTCTCTCCTCCTATTTTCCTCTTTCTTAACACCCTGACTTCCTGGGCCAAAGAAGGTAGGTTTTTATGTGATAGCTGTCTTTTCACTCTCTGAAAATATTATGACTGCCTGTAATCCCACCTACTCAGAAGCCAGAGAATGAAAGGATCTTTTTTTAAGCCAACCCAGACAAGAAAGTTTCTTTAACCACAGCTCATCTTAACCAAAAAGTTGGCCGTGATAACCTGCACTCTTCATCATAAATATGCTGGAGGAATAAATAAGAGGATTGGAGCCCAAACTGGTTTGGGTAAAAATGGAAGACCCACATCCAAAAACAAAGCAAAAAGGGCTAGAAGTGTGACTCAAGTGGTATAAGGCCTTGAATTCAAACACCAGTATTATACACACACACACACACACACACACACAAAATGTTTATAAAATATATAATAAAATATAAATTAAATATGTATTTATCATATATGTGTATATATATATTTACCAAATTTAGATACCTGAGAAAATAGTACAGGTAAGTAAAAACTCTTATGAAAAATGAAAAATAGGATATGTAACATTGTTTCTTTTTGAACAGGGGCTGGGAAGGTGGCTCAGTGGTAGAATGCTTGCCTCCCATGCATGAGGCCCTGGGTTCAATTCCTCAGCACCACATAAACAGAAAAAACCTGAAGTGGTGCTGTGGCTCAAGTGGTAGAGCACTGGCCTTGAGCTGAAGAGCTGAGGGACAGCACCCCGGCCCAGACATGACTGACCAAAAAAAAAACAAAGTTGAATAAATCTTAAACTTTTAAATGTAATTACTAGATATTTTAACCTCATTAAAGACTTAAGATATCTTATTTTCTCTTTAGGTGGTACGGGACTATAACCTTCAGCTGTTTTTACAAGAGAATGCTGTATTTCACAAACCTCAGCCTTTCCAGTTCCAGCCTTGTGAAAGTGATACTGTAAGGGGATTCCAGATTGTTTTACTTGTTGTGCAGTTGTGTTTGTGCTTTAGTAACTATCGATTTTAGAGTCGTCTGGAACAGAAGAGTGTGCATCATTAATTTTATAACAAAACTACTGGTGCAGAGACACCATGACATTTCTTCTTTCTGAAACATGGTTAATATGCCCAGTGTCTTTATACTAACAACTTTCTCCTGCATGAAGTTAAGTTAGCCTAGGATGAATGAAGTAGAACATGCAAACATATAGAGTATGGACAAGTTTTTCAAACTTGATAAACTTAAAATTGGGCCTTATTTGAGATTATTTTTGCCCTTCTACAAAAAGTAACAGAAACAATGTTCTTACTTCCAAAATAACAGTGACTCTTACTCCACTTTTCCAAAGCCCAGTAATGGCCCTAACTTCTTTCATTTCTAGACACTGTGCTAAATGTTCTTACCTGTACTGTCCTTATTTGCCTTAAAATTCTAACTCTGTGCTATTTTCTGTCCTTGCGCAATCTTTACTGGGCAGAGTTTAAAAGCTGCCCAACTGGTGGATATTGAACTGTCCCCTGTCAGTGCTCTGAGAATGACCATAGCTGAGGTATATGGGGGTATGGGTCAGGGTGGGAGGGATGGATGTGTGGGTTTGCATGTCAATAAAGGGCAGGACCTGGGGTTGGTATGAAAGTCATATATATGTAAAAGGAGCCATTAAATACATTGGCCATGACATTGCTTTTACCTTAGAGAGCAGAATTTTCCTTTTCTGTGTCTAGTGAAGAGTTCATTTTTCATCTTGTCTGAAGCACCTTCATTTTCCCAACATAGGTGCTAGGATGAACTATCAAGCTCACTTTCCTTTATTAAAGGGGAAATGATGACCTATAGCTAATGTGATTGCAATAATAATGTTCTTTCTACAATTTATTTTATCTTTGGAGAAGGATGTTAGTCACCTGGGAGGCAATTCATTTTTTCACAATGGAAAACAATAAATATCTGTGCTTTTATAAAACTCCCTAATAATGATTTTGAAATGTTTGCTTCAATTCTTTTTTTTCATGTGTGTGAACTAGGGTTTGACCTTTGGGACTCCTACTTGCTAGACAGGTGCTCTCCATTTGGGCCACATTTCCAATCCTGTTTTTCACTGAGTTTGTGTGTGTGTGTGTGTGTGTGTGTGTGTGTGTGTGTGTGTGTGTGTGTGTGTGTAAGTGTTCACATCAGGTGTAGGGTTTGTTTTTTGTTTTTGTTCTTTTGGTTTTTTTTTTTTTTTTTTTTTTTTTTTTTGTCGGTCATGGGGCTTGAACTCTGGGCTTGGGTGCTATCCCTCAGCTCTTTGGCTCAAGGCAAGCACTCTACTGCTTGAGTCACAGCACCACATCTGGTTTTCTGGTGGTTTATTGGAGATAAGAGTCTCACGGACTTTTCTGCCCAGGCTGGCTTTGAACCGTGATCCTCAGATCTCAGCCTCCTGAGTAGCTAGGATTACAGGCGTGAGTCACTGGCGCCCAGCCTCGGGTGTAGGGTTTATGCTTAGGGCCTCACCCTCTTTCTCAGCTTTTTAACTCAAAGCTGGCACTCTACCCGTTGGGCCATACCAATATTTCTGGCTTTTTGCTCATTAATTGGAAATAAGAGTCTCTCAGATTTGTCTGCCCAGAATGGCTTTGATCCTCCACTCTCAACCTACTGATTAGCTAGGACTATAGGTGTGAGCCCCCAGTGCCCAACTATATCCAGCTTTTTGTTGGTTGAAATGAGGTATCAGGAACTTTTTGCCAGGACTGATCTCTAACTATGATCACTCCCAGTCTCCAGATCCTGAGGAATTAGGATTATAAATGTGAGCCACAACACAAAGCCTTATGGTGGTTTTAATTTTTATTCACTTAATGACTGTGGTTGAATTTACCTAATGCTTCTTTTATGGGCTCATTGGCCATTAATATATCCAGTTCAAAAAAAAGTCTGTTCTAATCTTTTGTTCATTATTTTGACTGAGTTTATTTTCTTTTTATAGATTATGTCTTGAAGATGAATTAAAGTTTACCCTGAATAGTCAAAAAATAATATGATAGGGGGCTGGGAAGGTGGCTCAGTAGTAGAGCGCTTGCCTTGCATGCCTGAGGATTCCTCAGCACCACATAAGCAAAAAGAAAAAAAAGCTGGAAGTGGTGCTATGGCTCAAGTGGTAGAGTGCTAGCCTTGAGCTGAAGAGCTGAGGGACAGTGTCCAGGCCCAGAGTTCAGGCCCCACGACCGGACCCAAAACAAAAATAATAATAATAATAATATGATAGGGATTAAAGATAATCATTAAAAATAATACTAACGGGTCTGGGAAGTTGGCTCATTGGTAGAGTACTTGCCAAACACTGTAGGTTCGATTCCTCAGCATCACATAAGCAGAAAAAGCCAGAAGTGGCACTGTGACTCAAGTGGTAGAGTGCTAGCCGTGAGCTGAAGAGCTGAAGGACAGCACCCAGACCCAGAGTTCAGGCCCCACGACTGACAACAACAAAATAATAATAATAATAATAATAACAGCTAGGCGCTGATGGCTCATGCCTGTAATCCCAGCTACTCTGGAGGTTGAGATCTCAGGATCATGGCTCAAAGCCAACAGACAGGAAAGTTTGTGAGACTCTTATCTCCAATTAACCAAAAGAAACCAAAAGTAGATCTGTGGCTCAGAGTAGTAGCAAAAGAGCTCAAGGACAGTATCCAGGCCCTGAATTCAAGCCCCAGGACCGACAAAATAAAATAAATAAAAACAAAAAACAGAAAAAGGGCAAAGTTAGTTTATAACTTGGTAGCAAGTTGGTGATGGACTTTAACCAAATTAAATCCAGTATCTTGGGGCAGAAAGAAGGATTATGTGCTGTTGCTTTATTGCCTTATTCCTCTCAATTCTGTTCAACTATTTTTATTCTTTAATTACATTGAAATTATTGAATTGTTTTCATGTCTATCTGTTCAGTGGCTCAGTATTGTAGGTTGGCATAAAAATCTTTTTCTTCCTTACTTAGCTTAGCTAGGTTCCTTTATACCCAAAAGTCCATAGTTTTAGAGATGATGCTTTCATGTTTAGCCATGTAATACAGAAAGCCTGTGTTAATTTATGGTTCAGTACTACTTTCCTGGTCTTTTTCTGACTCTGTGTAGCAGGGCCCGACATTTTGAGTGTCGATTAAGGGAATGTCTTCTGGTCCAGCTCTAGAAGGGTAACAATTGCATTAAGGATAACAATACTTCTCTCTCTTTTCTCTCTTGTGTTGTAGAGTCGACAACTGGAATCAGAAACTGGGACTACAGAGGAACACAGTCTAAATAAGGAGGCTCGGAAATGGGCCACACGGGTGGCACGTGAGCACAAAAACATTGTTCATCAACAGCGGGTAAGTGAAGTAGAAGACATCTTATCTACAGTCAGTGTAAATGAAATGTCAAACAAATTTTAGAAGTTGAATTTTATTAATGTGAAAATACTGTGGGTTTTTTTCTGTACTTTCTCAATAGTCAGCATTATGCTCTTAGTTATCTGCTTATCTTAAAATTTTAATAAATCTTCTAGCAACAACATAGTATTCTATCTGTTTGCCACAGAATTACCTAGCAAAGCTACTGATAATGTATTACAGCCTTTGGGGCAGAGAAGGGCATATGTACATTGGATTTAAAGACACAACTATAGATTCCATTAAAGTGAATTTTCAATACTAAACTCTAAGCACAAAGCAGTTATTTTAAGTATAGTTTTCCCCCAATTTTATTCCTATCTTTATCGTGTGTGTGTGTGTCTGTGTGTCTGTGTGTGTGTCTGTGTCTGTGTGTGTGTCTGTGTCTGTGTGTGTGTCTGTGTGTATGAAAGAGAGAGAGCAAGGGTATGTCAGGGCCTGGGTGCTGTCCATAAGCTCTTTTATGGTCAAGGTTAGTGCTCTACCACTTGAACTATAGCTCTACATCTGGCTTTTTGATAGTTAGAGATAAGAGTCTCATGGATTTTCCTGCTTGGGATGGCTTCAAACTGCAATCTTCATGCCAGGTGCCAGTGTCTCACACTCAGGAGGCTGAAGTCTGAGAATCACAGTTCAAGCCAGCAGAGGCAGAAAAGTCCATGAGACTTTTATCTCCAACTAACTATCATAAGACCAGAAGTGGGCGCTATGGCTCAACTGGTAGAGTACTTGCCTTGAGCGGAAGAGCTCAAGGACAGTACCCAGACCCAGAGTTCAAGCCCTACAACTGACAAAAAAAAACAAAACAAAACAAACAAACAAAAACCTACAATTCTCATATCTCAGTCTCCCGAGTAGCTTGGATTACAAACATGAGCCACTGGCTTCTAGCTGTCTCCTGTTTGTTGTTGTTTGTTTGTTTGTTGTGGGGGAGTTGCCTTCACAATCACTTTTTAAAAGAGTTTTCTGTATTATCTCTCTATCCTTACCACTCACTGAATTTTCTTTGATTTTAAATGCCTGAGGGTTTGCTGAGCTTTTTAGATCCATTCATTTAGGTCTTCCCCTCCTTTTTCTTCTCTTCAAGGAAGACCTTCCCTTCAAAAAGACTAAATTGACAAAATCAGCATGCAGCCTGTGTTGCAAGATCCAAAGTAGACTCTCTGGTTTCTCATTTTTCTTAACCAGTCAAAGGTTCCATGACAGTTAACAACTCCTTCATCTTAAAACATTTTCTTCTCTGTCATCCATGACTTAACCGATCCTCTCTGGATGCTCCTAGAGTCTCTCATGGATTTCTCTATTTCTGCCCCCAATTAAATATTTTAATTCCTTAGGTTTTTTGTTACTAGGCCACCTTCTTTTCATCTTCTATACTCTCAGTAAAGGCAGTTTCAATCACTTCCATGATATTACTTACAACTAAGTCATAAATTAATATTTCCAACATTGAGCCTTACTACTATCTGCCCCTTAGCTCTTTTGCCTATTTTGGCAACTTAATTTCACTGTCTTGTCAACATCTCAGATTCTTTGTTCCTCATATGGAATGCTGCATAGCAAACTATCTCAAACTTAATGTCACAAATGAGAGCCTTTTTTTTTCTCTCTCTGGTCCTGGGACTTACACTCAGGGCCTAGGTACCGTCCTTAAGCCTCTTTGTGCTCAAGGCTAGCACTCTACCACTTGAGTCACAGCACCACTTCTACCTTTTTCTGAGTAGTGTTTATTCGAGATAAGAGTCTCATGAACACTATGATTTGAGGCCTGGGCTGGATTCAAATTGCAGTCCTAAGATTTCAGCCTCCTAAGTAGCTAAGATTAGAGGTTTGAGCTACTGGCTCCCAGCTAAGAGCATTTTTTAAAATATCATCTCCCTATTCTCAGTATTAAGTAGTTTCAGGCAGTCCAAACTTGAGGTCTCACATGGTTGTAGTCAGATAGTTGCCAGTGCTGGTGACATCTGACAGGCTTCCCCACTAAAATACCTGGTGCTTGTACTGGGAATAGTTGAACAGCTGAGAACTGAACAGCTGAAATTCTCATCCATCTCTATCTCTCTGAAGTCTCTTCACATAGTCTGTCCAACAGGGCAGCTTCCAATTGGTTGTTCTTCTTTTATGAAGTACAATGAATGTACTTCTTACATGAAGCCCCAGAGTTATGAGTCGTAAGAGTGGGAAGACAAGTTGAATCTATGTTATCCTTATCACCTGGCCTTAGAAATACCATGATGAGGGCTGGGAAGGTGGCTCAGTGGTAGATCACTTGCCTTGCATGCTTGAGGCCCTGGGTTCGATTCCTCAGCACCACATAAGAAAAAAGCCGGAAGTGGCGCTGTGGCTCAAGTGGTAGAGCACTAGCCTTGAGCTGAATTGCTGAGGGACAGCGCCCAGGCCCAGAGTTCAGGCCCCACGACTAGACCCCCCCAAAAAAAAAAGAAATACCATGATGATATTTGTATCCCATTTTGTTAATTGAGCCAGTCACAAAGGCTTGTCCATAGTATGGGGAGAGAGAAAAGTTCTAGAAGACCATGTCAAATTGGAAACATTGTAGTAGTTATTTACAAAAAAAAAGAAAAAGAATCTCTTTGAACCATAATTATTCACATCCCTCTCACATGTAAAATATACTTACTTCTCCCTAAAGTCCCTAAAACCTGGTTTTTGCTAAATGTTGTCCAAATTTAATAAAAACTGTAAACGAGAATCTAAAGAGCTCAGCACTTAAAACAAAAAGAAAATTGCACCAAACCACTGCATAATTTGTTATAGAAAAAATTGACAGTGATGAAAAACTTAAAGCATTTTCTCTAAGCTCAGGACTAAGCTAAGTTAGGGTATCTATTCAACTTAGTACTAGAAATCCTACCCAGACAGTTACAAAAGAGGGAGGGTGGTAAAAGGCATCTACTTTGGGAAGGAAGAAGTAAAATTATCTCTTTTCACAGATGGCATGATTTTGAATGTGAAAAATCCTAAAGATTCCACCAAATAATGGAAGGGGTGAAATTGATCAAGATACATTATACTTGTAATTTGACTTGTGGAATTGAAACCACTTTGTACAACTACTTAATAAGAAATAATTAAAAATCACCAGGTACCAATGTCTCACTTGTCATCCTAACTACTTAGAAGACTGTCATCTGAGGATTGCAGTTCAAAGCTAGCCTAGACAGGAAAGTCCATGAGACTCTTATCTCCAATTAACCACCACACATGGGGAACTGGAGTTGTGGCTCAAGTGACAGAGTGCCTGCCTTGAATTTAAAAAGCTCAGGTACAGTGCCTAGGCCCTGAGTTCAAGCCCCAGGACTAGTACAAAAAATAAATTTTAAAAGATTCCACCAAAAAATTATTAAAAGCCAATAAATGAATATAGTAATGTTAGCACAAAAATATAAAATTAGCATACAATTCTGGTGCTGGTGGCTCATGCCTGGAATTCTAGCTACTCAGAAAGCTAAGATTTGAGGATTATGGTTCAGAGCTAGCCTGAGCAGGAAAGTCCATGAGACTCTAATCTCAAATTTAGTCCATGAGACTCTGATCTCAAATTCTGCACCAAAAAGGCTAGAAGTGGAGTTGTAGCCCAAGTGGTAAAACACTAGCCTTCAGCAAAAAAGCTCAGGGACAGTGTCCATGCTCTCAGTTCAAGCCCGAGAACACACACACACACACACACACACACACACACATACAAAAATCAGTTGTAGTCCTATACACTAAAAAAGAACAGTCTTGAAACAACAAATATATGAAGTCTGCAACAACAAATATATGAAGAGAAAGAGTGAAAATGAAGGGAGAGACAAGAAAGAAAGAAAGCTGGGCACCAAGCCGGGCGCTGGTGGCTCACGCCTGTAATCCTAACTACTCAGGAGGCTGAGATCTGAGAATTGCGGTTCAAAGCCAGCCCGGGCAGGAGAGACCGTGAGACTCCTATCTCCAATAAACCACCAGAAAACCGGAAGTGGCGCTGTAGCTCAAGTGGTAGAGCGCTCGCCTTGAGCTGAAGAGCTGAGGGACAGCGCCCAGGCCCAGAGTTCAAGCCCCACAGCCGACAAAAAAAAAAAAAAGAAAGAAAGCTGGGCACCAGTGGCTCATGCCTGTAATCCTAGCTACTCAGGAGGCTGAGATCTGAGGATCACGATTCAAAACCAGCCCTGGCAGGAAAGTCTGTGAGACTCTTATCTCCAATAAACAACTATAAAACTAGAAATGGTGCTTTGGCCCAAGCGGTAGAGCACTCACCTTGAGCTGAAGAGCACATGGACAGCACTCCAGGCCCATGACTGACAAGAAAGAAAAGAAAGGAAAAGAAACTCCAAAATATTGGTGAAAGAAATTTAAAACAGCATAACCAAATAGATTGGAAGTAACTGTTAAAATGACAGTAACAGCTAGGAATAGCAAACATGCCTGTAGTCCCAGCCACTAAGGAGGCTAAGGCAAAAGCATTGGTTGGGTTCATAAGTTTTAGACCAGGCTAGGGCCAACTCAAATAACAATGAAAAAAAGATAACAGTAATACCCAGAATGATGTACAGATTCAGTGTGGTCTCTATTTTAATCCCAGTGGGAAGACATCCAGTGGTCATAGAATAGAAGATAAAGTTAAAAGACCAGTAACACCTAAAATGATTTTTAAATTCAGTGTAGTCTTTTGTGAAAATCCTAACAATGGGCTTTAAAAAAGGAAAGAAATAGAAAAGGCCATCCTAAAAATTATATGAAATCCTAAGGGGCCCCCCTTCCCCAAATAGCCAAAACAGTACTGAAAAGAAAGAGGACTCATACTTCTAGATTTCAAAGTATATATAAAACTATTGATTGAGACAGTGTGGTACTAGAATAAGAACATAAGACATAGGTAGCCTCATATAGACATTTTTTTTTTTTGCTGGTCCTGGGCCTGGACTCTGTCCCCGAGCCTCTCTGTGCTCAAGGCTATTGCTCTACCACTTGAACCACAGACCACTTCTAGATTTTCTGTTTATGGGAACTGAGGAATCAAACTTAGGGCTTCATGCCTGTTAGGTAAGAAATCTACCACTAAGCTACATTCCCAGACCCTTATTTACACTTTTGAACTTCTAAAACAGAAATTTCTTTTCTTTTCTTTGTCAGTCATGAGGCTTGAACTCAGGGCCTTGGCACTGTCCCTGAGCCTTTTCACTCAAGGCTAGCACTCACCACTTTGAACCACTGCTCTACTTCTGGTTTTCTAGTGGTTAATTAGAGATAAGAGTCTCACAGACTTTCCTGCCGGAGCTGGTTTTGAACTGTGATCCTCAGATCTCAGCCTCTTGAATAATTAGTAATTACAGGTGGGAGCCACCAGCACCCAGCTAAAATAAGTTTTCTGCCTAGAAAGTTTATCACATTTACAAGAATGAATATTTCAGATGAACTTGACATCATCTGCAGCTGAGAGACAGCAAATGATGGAGCAAAGTTGTAGAAGTTGTCTGACATCTTTTGTGTAAGTTAGGGAATGAGTCAAGTGAGAGTTTAAACAGGAATTGTTGAGCCACACAGTCAAATAATTTCACTGAAATTCCAATATAAACAACAGATATATTTTGGACAATATTTATGGATCCAAAAAGGTGTTGGCTACCTTCTTCAGCCTCCTGTCACCAGGCAGCCAAGCATAGCTACAATGGTTCTGCTCACCTACCAGGGACCTACATGCAGAGACTGGGAATCTTATGACTATTGAAGCCTAAATTCCAAAATTTTCAGGAAGAGGCTTGCCCTTTCACTGGATGATAAGGGCCTCGAATTTTTATTTATTTATTTATTTTGGGTTATAGTCCTAAAGAGCCTGATCCCTGAGCTTTCTTTTTCATTTATCTTTTTCTTTTCTTTTTTCCTTTAAGACTAACACTCTACCACTTAAGCCATAGCTTCACTTCTGGCTTTTTTGGTAGTTAATTGGGGATGAGTCTCACAGTTTTTCTTGCTTGGGCTGGCTTTTGAACTGCAATCCTTGGATCTCAGCCTCTTGAGTAGCTAGAATTGCAGGGGTTTAGTAATTTTTAAAATGCCAAGTTACCTCTGCATTTATAATGCAATACAAGTCAAACCCAGCAAGCTTTTTCTTTAATAAAAATCGACACACTGATTCTCAAAGATAAATGGATGCAAATAATCTAGAATAACTAAAAATCTTGAAAATGAAGGATAAAGTTAGAAATCTATCTTACTCTACCTGATTTGAAGAATATAGTAATCGATGTATTGTGGTAAGGTTAGGTTTACATAAGAGTAAAACAAAAGGAAGAGTCTAGAAATAGGCCCACATACATATGGTCAGTTAATTCTTTCTTTTTAACAAAGGCTTAACAAACTTGTAAAAATACTAAATATGCTGGGCACCAGTGGTTTATGTCTGTAATCCTAGCTACTCAGGAGGCTGAGATCTAAGGATCACAGTTCAAAGCCAGCCAAGGCAAGAAAGTCCATAAGACTCATATCTCCACTAAACTACTTAAAAAAAAATTCATAAGTGGTGTTCTGGCTCGAGTGGTAGAGCCCTCACTCAGGGACAGCACCCAGGCCCAAAGTTCAAGCTCCAGGCTCAGCACAAAAAAAAAAAAAGCTAAATTCATTTTAATAAAAGTGAATCCAGCTATGTTTAAAATTCATGTCTAAGGTACAAAGGTGACTCAACATTCAGAAGTGTATCAATGCAATAAATTGCAGAATAAAACTCAAAATTTCTGTGTTCATTTTCATAGGTGCCCAAAATTTTATAAAATTCAGAATCTCAGGGTAAAGATGGAACTCTCAGTAGAGTACCTGTGTAGCACATGCTGAGCCCTGGTTTAAGGTTTTCATGATAGAGCACTTGCCTAGCAAGAAGTCCTGGCACTTCAAAAGAAAAAGAAAAAAAAATAGTATCACTTAGTAAACAAGCCAGGCCTGATCACATACATCTATGCTTAGAAGGCTGAGGCAGGAGATTTACATATTTCAAGGCACCCTTAGCTACATAGTGCGATAGTCAGATGTTAGTGGCACCTGATACTAGATACTGGTGGCATATATGATACCCACTACATGGGAAGCTAAAATCAAGATTAAGCTCTGCAGGAAAAGATTATGAGGTTCCACCTCAAAAGAAGAAAGTTGGTTATGGTGGTACAGATCATCTCAGCTGTGTCAGAAATAATAAAATAGATAGAACACAGTCCAACTATAGATCAGGCAAAAAGTAAAATCCTTTCTCTAAATAACCAGAGCAAAAGAGGCCTACAGGCATGGTTCAACAGCCATAGTAAGTGTGAGGCCTGAGTTCAAAACTCAGTACTGCCAAAGAAATTCACAGCTTAGAGATTTTTATTAAAGCATGTAGGATATTATATAATCTCCCTGGAATTTACTTTAGATACTGAAGCAAAGGAAAAGAAAATAGGTAAAGCAGATATAGAAAAATCTGTATGATTTGAATTTCAGTGGTTGATCTATGGGAGTTTTTTGAACTGATATCTCTACTATTGAGTATACTTAAAATTTTTCATAATAAAAAACATATTGGCCAGATGCTAGTGTTTCACACCTGTAATCCTAGCTACTCAGGAGGCTGAGATCTGAGAGTTGCTGTTTGAAGCCAGCTGAGGCAGGAAAGTCCATGAGACTCTTTATCAACAATTAAGTAGCAATTAAGAGCCTGAAGTGGAGCTATGGCTCAAGAGGTAGAGCAAATATGAAAAAGCTTTTTTGCCTCAAGCAAAAAGGGACAGTGTCCAGACCCTTAGGTAAAGCACCAGGACTAACACCAAAAAAAAAAATATGTATGTGTGTGTGTGTGTGTGTGTCTGTGTCTGTGTGTGTGTGTCTGTGTGTGTGTGTATGAAAAGTAAGTAAGTCCTGGGGTTTAGTCTCAGCATGATTTCTCTCTTCTACTACATACAAAATGAATTTCAGAAAAATTTAAAGGCAAAATTCTAAATACAAGATTATTAAAAACCAGAAAAACATTTTTGGTATCTCAGAAATATAAAAACTGACAAATATAAACATGTGGAAAAGAGAAAAGCAATAGAATGGAAATGTTTGCAACATGAAAAACAGAAAGGATTAATATCTAGAAAATGTTTTAAGTAATAAAATATATAAAGGTAGAAAATGGATATTCATATATTCATGGAAGTAGAAATCAGCTTGACACTGGTAGCTCACCCCTGTAATCTTGGGAAGCTGAGATTGGAAAGGCCATAGTTTGAGGCCAGACAGAGCAGGAAAGTTGTTTTTTTGTTGTTTTTTTGTTGTTTTTTTGGGTCCGGTCGTGGGGCCTGAACTCTGGGCCTGGGCGCTGTCCCTCAGCTCTTCAGCTCAAGGATAGCACTCTACCACTTGAACCACAGCGCCACTTCTGGCTTTTTTCTTTTTGCTTGTGTGGTGCTGAGGAATCGAATCCAGGGCCTCATGCATGCAAGGCAAGCGCTCTACCACTGAGCCACCTTCCCAGCCCATAGAGCAGGAAAGTTTGTGAGATTCTTTCTCAGTGAAGAGCTGAATACCTATCCACAGCAGAAAGTCTGACTTTGGTTGTTCTCTCAGCCCAAGCAGGAAGCAAGACCCTATCTCAAAAATAACCAGCAAAAAAGGGCTAGAGGTGTGGTTCAGGGGTAAGAGCTACCTAGCAAGCACAATCGCCTGAGTTCAAACTCCAGTTTTGGCAAGAAAAAAAAAAAATTTAAGACTGGGTACCAGTTTCATACCTGTAATCCTAGTTACACAGGAGGCTGAGATCTGAGGATCATGGTTTGATGCCAGCCCAGACAGAAAGTCCATGAGATTCTTTTTTTTTGGAGGGGGGGGGGTGGGGGGAGGAGGGTCTGGTCGTGGGGCCTGAACTCTGGGCCTGGGCTCTGTCCCTCAGCTCTTCAGCTCAACACTAGCGCTCTGTCACTTGAGCCACAGTGCCACTTTCTGGCTTTTTGCTTATGTGGTGCTGAGGAATCGAACCCAGGGCCTCATGCATGCAAGGCAAGTGCTCTACCACTGAGCCACTTTCCCAGCCCAGTCCATGAGATTCTTTTTTTTTTTTGGGTCCGGTCATGGGGCCTGAACTCTGGGCCTGGGCGCTGTCCCTCAGCTCTTCAGCTCAAGGCTAGCTCTCTACCGCTTGAGCCACAGCGCCACTTCCGGCTTTTTTCTTTTTGCTTATGTGGTGCTGAGGAATGGAACCCAGGGCCTCAGGCATGCAAGGCAAGCGCTCTACCACTGAACCACCTTCCCAGCCCCTGAGATTCTTTTTTTTTTTTTTTAATTTTATTTTATTTTATTTGAGAACATACTGTACAGAGGGGTTACAATTACATGGGCAGGATAATGCATACATTTCTTACCAAGCATTGCAGCTTCCTCCTTTGTTTACCCTTCACCTCCCTTCCCAGCCTCCCCCCTCCCCCCCCCTGAGATTCTTATCTCTAATTAACCACCAAAACTCTGGAAGTGGAGTTATAGCTCAACTAAAAGACCTCTAGCCTTAAACAAGGACAGCACCTAGGCCCTGAATTCAAACCCCAGGACTGACACACTCCCAACAAAAGAAGTTTAAATAAATAAATAAATGAAATAATTTAAAGTTCAAAATAGCCAAGATAACCTAAAGCTTTTTGAATAATCGTAATACTTTCAAGTAAAGAAAGATAATTGAGAAACAGTCATTATTTTTCTATTTTCTTCAATAGGTTCTGAATGATCTGGAATGTCATGGAGTTGCCATATCAGAACAAAACCGGGTAGACCTGGAACAGAAAATAGATGAAGCCAGAGAAAATATCCGTAAAGCAGAGGTAAGGTGGCAGTTAAATGTGTATTTTGTCTAGCTTTAGTCAGTGTCCCAGCTGTGATGTGTATCCACACTAATATTTATTGAATTACTACTTTGCAGAAAATAGCATTTATGACAGCCTCAAACCTGTAATCCTAGCTACTCAAGAGGCTAAGAAAATCTGAAGATCAAAGCTCACCTGGGCAGAAGAGTCCCCATGAGACTCTTATTTCCAATTAACCATTCAAAAACTGGAAGTGGTGTGGTGGCTGAAATGTAAAGTGCTAGCCTTGAGTACAAAGAGGCTCAGGGACAGTGCCCAGGCCCTGAGTTTAAGCCCCACAACTCCCCCCCACACACACACACACACACAAATATAGACGATTTAGGACCTATTATTCCAGCTACTTTGTAGAGGTAGAGACAAGATGATTGCAGTTGTAGGCCAGTCCTGGCAAAGTTAGTGTTGAGACTGTATCTGAAAAGCAAACTAAAAGCAAAGGCAAAGGGACTATGGGTATGGCTGAAATGGTAGAGTGTTTTCTAAATGTCTTGTGTTCAATCCCAAGTATTGCAGAAAAAATAGGGAAGATTTAGTTAGAGGGAGTGAAAAAGCAAACTATAGTAGTAGGTTTTAATCTTTAATTGAAGTCATGGGATGCGTTGAGGGTTATATGAAAGCTGTGAAGATTCTTCTACTTAAAAGAAAGTATGTCCATGGCAACTACTCTCTGCCCAAGAAGGCTGAGATTGAAAGGAGAGGCAAAATGTTAGCAAACAAGTAATACACAGGGTGTAGACTGATCATTGGATATAATTTGAGTACATTTCTATAAAGAAATATGATTGAATGTAGCACATACATATGTATTAATCTATTTAGCTGCCAGATAGTGAAAAGATAGAGAAATGGGCCTAAAAATAAGACTGAGATTATGTTCTTGTTAGGAATGCATAGAAAAATGCTAAAGATAACTAAAACAATAAAACATAAGTGCCAAGGAGTGGTCCATATGAGTATACATAAAAACCAGAGGATGCATCAAGTTAGCTACACATTAGAGTAACAATGGATATTAGCCAATAAGTGATGTTTGATTAGTCAGAAAAAAGGGAACACAGATTTATTTCATATAATTTGTAAGAGGAATAACTTGAACCAGAAGATGAAGGTAGGAAGGAGGAAAGTTTGAGTTTGGTACTGGGAAATACCAAAGGCCTAACACATCTTTCCATTGGCAGAATACATACCCCTGGGACATAACAGCCTGAGTGGCAAGAAGATACTGAGCATGTTTCTTTCTGGGGCTAGATACAGGAATGTTTTATTGGTTAAGTGTTCATCTAAACTAGTGACTTTCAAACACTTCTTCAAACTCATAAGGTTTTAATAAGTAAGTGCTTTAGTGGTTATAATGTGAGGGTAGAGACAGCACAGGGAATTTGAGAATGCTTTTGGCACAACCCCATGGAAGCAATCTGAGCCACAGCCCACTTGCCATCTGCTCTTCTCCTTACCTACACTTCTTTCCTAGCAGTCTGACCCATAGTATTCTTGGTGAGGTAGTCAGGGTATGCAGTGTATAACGTTTTTCTCCCAGGACTCAGAGACATGCCTAAACCACTACCCTAGTATGCAGGCCAAATATGATGGGTGGACCCTTGCCTGGTTTGGGAGATGCTGGCCGGTGGTAGAAGAGTTTTTCCTGTTATATTTATTTCTCCATACTCTGATGAAGCCTAGTGGAACAGAACTGATTACTTTAAGACAGTCTCAGAAGTTTTCTGAAGAGTATGTTCTTGGATTTTTTTTATGTGTAGACTTCATCCATGGTGTTATCACTAATAATATGTCTACCTGGGTCCACCATCCTTAGTAATAGCAGTAGAAGTTATCAGTCATGACCTATTTTTTTCATTAATAAGTGTTCTAAGCTTACAGTTTGTTAGCTTGAAAGTAAAAATATAGATAACAGAATGTCCTGATACAAGAATTTAAGTCTGCATCGTCAAAGCTAATTTTCTTACCAAAAATATGGAATACACTAAACCTATGATGTCAAATCTATTGTCTCAGTTTTGAATGTTGGTAAAATTCAATTCATCCTATTATCTTAAAATGGTCTCTCACTTTCTATTAACAGATATTCACAATAGACAAGCTAAACTTAGCTGATAATTAGAGCATATTTATTGAGGTAGCACTTACAGGATTGTCATCAAGACTGTTATAATGAAAGTTGAATAGACTAGACCACAAGTCTTTTCAGAGTAATTAACAGTAATTATTTCTCTATATACCCTTTTTCTCTTTTCTACTATATTAATTTGCATTAGTTTTTTTTTTCCTCTTCCTATTCAATGGTTAATTTACTTTATTATAAATACCTATACAAAAGAAAGCTGTTTAAGGGCTTGGGAGTGTGGCTTAGTGGTAGAGTTCTTGCCTTGCATGCATGCAGCCCTGGGTTCGATTTCTCAGTACCACATAAGCAGAAAAAGCCGAAAGTGGCCCTGTGGCTCAAGTGGTAGAGTACAGAGAGGCTCAGGACAGTGCCCAGGCCTTGAGTTCAAGCCCCAGGACTGGCAAAAAAGCTGATTAAAATTTGATTCTGTTCTGGTAATCAGTATGATTATCTTACTTTTTAATTTCTGCTAATGTGAATGGTACTCTGCCTGGTTGCTTAATCTCCTTTGTCCATTCTATTGTGAAGCTCAGTTACAGGCTAACACCTGTAATCCTATGTCCAATTTGACGATTCCCCCTTTGAAGTCAGCTCAGATACCAAGAGACTCACAAAAAGCTAGATGTGAAGGTATGGCTCATATGGTAGAGTACTAGCCTTGAAGGAAAAAGTTAAGCAAGCATGGGAGGCCCTGAGTTCAAGCCCCAGTACACACACACACACACACACACACACACACACACACACACACACACACACACACACACACACACACACACACACACACACACACACACACACACGTTTCCAGTGAGAAAAAAAATGAAAATATTTGGACAATTAATGAATAGCTGCTACCTGCTAAATGATAAAAACACTATATAGTGACAGACTATTACTATATAAGATTTCTAGGACTGTTCCACACATATTTGTAATAATTCTGACAGTTTACAGTCTCAAGATTTGCTTAAATGAAACATTAACACACACATACAACCTATACACATACACACACATTCTCTAATATATCTACTTAAAAAGTAGTTGTTGTTAAGCCTGAGGCTATAGCTCAAGTGATGGAGCTCAAGTACAAAGTTCAATTCCAAGTAGAGGGAGGGAGGGAAGGAAGGAAGGAACGAAGGAAAATTAACAATGTATAGAAATATGTCAGCCAGCTACATGCTGGCTGGTGGCTCAAAGTGGTAGAGCCCTAGCCTTGAGTGAAAAAGCTCAGGGACAGCATCCAGGCCCCATGACTGACCAAAAAAAGAAAAAGAACATTATCACAGGTTTGTACTAGTATTAGCATTAGTATTAGCAGACTTCTTGAGTAATCACTTTTATTTATTTATTTTGTTGGTGGTGGGGCCTGAACTCTGGGCCCGGGCGCTGTCCCTTAGCTCTTCAGCTTAAGGCTAGCCCCCTACCACTTGAGCCAAAGTGCCACTTCAGCTTTTTCTGTTTATGTGGTGCTGAGGAATCAAACCCAGGGCCTCATGCATGCAAGGCAACCACTCTACCACTAGCCAGCTTCCCAGCCCCAAGTAATCATTGTTTAAATGTTTTTTCTTTATGAAAATGTTAAATGTAGAGAAAATTTTTTCTTTATGAAAATGTTAAATGTAGAGAAAATAGAAGAATAAACAGGTATTTCTGAGTATCTAGATTGTTTTGTAATATTAGCTTTTTATATATTTATTAGACTAGCCCATTATTTTTGTCCTGTGAAGTTGAAGTTAGATCAAAACTAATTAGAAGCATATTCAATTTTTAGGCACAAATACTTTATAGGTGATGGTCTTTATAGTTGTACAACTTTGTATAACTACTTAAGGATGATAGGTAGGTAGGTAGGTAGGTAGGTAGGTAGGTAGATAGATAGATAGATTCATACATACATACATACATACATGCATAAAGTTGAACTGATATTAATGATACTAAGAGTGGTAATTTAACTAAAGTGGTGCTACCAAAACTATCTACAATAAAGATTCTTTGTCTCACTCCCAATTGCGTTTGGCAAATACTGGTTTTTCACCAGTGGCAACAAGTAGGCATTTTTCCCTATTTCTCTATTATTACCTCATAGAATTTTGTAAGTCAGGGTTTTTACAAATATTCTATACATACGATAAAATTTAACTATTTCAAGTGTACAATGAGAACTTTGATATGTTTCCTTGTAGTTCTGATGATTAATGATGCTGAGCTGCTTTTCATTTGATTGTTGGCATTTATGTATTTATTTATTTATTTAGGTTGGTTAAGGTACTGGATTTGAACTCGAAAGAATTACGTTTACTAGGCAAGAGCTTTACCACTTGAACCACTCACTCATTCCTAAATTTTCTACCATCTAGTATAGTGCCTTTTTTTGGTGGTAGTGAAACTGGAGTTTGAATTTAAGGCCTTAACCCTTTCTAAGCAAATGCTCTACTACTACACCTATTCCCTAATCTCAGCTAGTCTTCAGTATTTATTCATATCAGTCTTACTGAACTCTATTCACAATGCTAGCCTGTGTGTGTGTGTGTGTGTGTGTGTGTGTGTGTATGTGTGTGTGTGTGTGTGTGTGTGTGTGTGTTTGATATAGCTGGAAAATGGCCTGAAGTATGTAAAAATCTGAAAAAGAATCACCCCTTGATGACAATTGCATTATACAGCTTTTGGACTATGAGGAGCACCATGCTTAGAACTCAGCAGAGAACCCATACTTAATGGCTTGAGGAGAGATATCAGTCAGTACTCAGATTATTACCATCCAAATCTTTAGCCTAAGAAGGAGCTGGACTGGAAACAATGGCAGAAAAGCAGAGTAACTGAGCAGAAATTTCAGTTGTTGATTACATTGGAAAGCAAACACTAATAAAATTAGGGGCTGGGAAGGTAGCTCAGTGGTAGAGCGCTTGCCTTGCATACCTGAGGCCCTGGGTTCCATTCCTCAGCACCACATAAGCAAAAAGAGAAAAGCCAGAAGTGGTGCTGTGGCTCAAGTGGTAGAGTGCTAGCCTTGAGTTGAAGAGCTAAGGGACAGCGCCCAGGCCCAGAGTTCAGGCCCCATGACCGGACCCAAAAAAAAAAAAAAACAAAACACTAATAATTAGAAAATTGGAGTGACCATGTTCTTGACCTCATATATGGTATTTACATGTGCACATCTGAGGGAAGCTAAGAGGAGGGCACAGAGGGAAACATGGGAAAAAATATAACAGAGGGACCCATCAGCTGCACTAGACATTGATGAAAATGAACTAAGCAACTCAAGGGCAGAGGTGGGAGGGAGGGAATAAGAGGGAACAGCTTACACTAAGCAAAAGGAAAGAAATGTACATATCACCCAGTTTGGAAGAAATAGTTGTATTGTCAAAGTTTATAGAATTCACAAATTTTATAGACCATGATAATGACAATTTGCCCTGTGAATGTTAAAATATGTTTGTGACTTTAAGTATTACTAACCCACAATACTATGAAATTTATGTAATCACTAAATCTCAATTTAAAAATATTTTTATTTATTTTTTGTTGTTGTTGGTCATGGAGCCTGAACTTGGCCTGGGTGCTGTCCCTCAGCTCTTCAGCTCAAAGTTGGCACTCTACCACTTGAGCCACAGCGCCACTTCTGACTTTTTCTGCTTATATAGTGCTGAGGAATTGAACCCAGGGCCTCATGCGTGCAAGGCAACCACTCTACCACTGAGCCACCACCCCAGTCCCAAAATATTATTTAAAATTTTTAAAAGGTAGACAGGTACAAGAATTGAATCTAGTTAGGCTTCACTCTGTGCTTAATAGTTTGCTTAAGTTTCACAAATATGTAAGGGAAATGGAGCTTAAATCTCAATATATTGTTAGTAATCACATTCCATGACTTATGACAATAAATATACATAGTAAATTAAAGAAAAGAAAAAGAAAATCAGAGTGATAGCCAGGCGCTGGTGACTTATGCCTGTAATTCTAGCTACTTAGGAGGCTGAGATCTGAGGATCACAGTTCAAAGCCAGACAAGGCAGGAAAGTCCATGGGACTCTTATCTCCAATTAACCACCAGAAAACTAGAAATGGTGCTGTGATTCAAGTGGTAGAGCACTCACCTTGAGCTGAACAGCTCAGGTACAGCACCCAGGAAGCAGAGAAGGAATGCCTGTATATCTGTGCTAGCTTCCTCAACCCTGCTTTTTTGCCCTTATTGGAGCTTGAACTCAGAACCTCTCTTGCTCAGCTTTTTTCACCTGGCTGGCAGTCAGTTAATCACTTGAACCATGCCTCTTCTGGCTTTTTTTGCTGGTTAATTGGTGATAAGAATCTCATGGATTTATCTGCCCAGATTGGCTTCTAACTGTAATTATAAGTCTGAGCCATTAGCATCTGGCTTATCCTCTCCCTATTTTATTCCATTTGCTCTCCCAGACTAAAGGATGGTACCACTGGGGTCTGTGGGTCTTCCTAGGATCCTTAGTTAATTCTCCCTGGAAACATCCTCATAGACATACCCGAGTTATGCTTAGTAAACTCCTAGGTGCTTGTCAGTCTAGTCGAGTTAATAGTCATGATTAACTGTCACAGCTATGCACTGAAAATTTGGAATCAGCACATCATTAAAATCTATTTGAAGACACTCTTGGTGTGGTAGTACATGTCTGTAATCTCAGGCATGAGAATAAGGCAGGTTTGTGAATTGAGCCTAGCTAGCCTATGCTATATGAGATCCTGTCTCAAAAAAAAGATTCAGCTGAGCGCTGGTGGCTCACGCCTGTAATCCTAGCTACTCAGGAGGCTGAGATCTGAGAATCACGGTTCAAAGGCAACCCGGGCAAGAAAGTCTGTGAGACTCTTGGTCTCCAATAAACCACCAGAAAACCAGAAGTGGCGCTGTGGCTCAAGTGGTAGAATGCTAGCCTTGAGCTGAAGAGCTGAGGTACAGTGCCCAGGCCCAGAGTTCAAGCCCCACAACCAAAGGAAAAAAAATTGATTTAAAAACACTAGAAATTCTACTCTTAAATAAGTGTTAAAATATAAAAAGCTGCAAGCTCTTAAAGATTTCAAGGAAAACAAACCAAATTGAGTTCTTCCTATGCTACACCCACAACCAGATCATTTTCATAACACCAGAATGTGTAGGATTTCTCCCCAGCAGCAAGCAAGCAAGCAAGCAATACTTGTTTGCAAATAACATGTTCATCAGCTGTTTTGAAAAGTACTGACAAAACTAGATCTTAAGTAAACTAAGCTAGCTGGTGTTGACAGAAGAGAACATACTAAATTCTCCCAGCTTTTTTTTTTTATTTCTTGGCTTCAGTTAAATAAAGACTTTTTAAAATTTCTAACCTTGTTGGTTAACACAAGGAAAAGTATTTCAGTGCTTTAAAATGTATATTTAAGGGGCTGGGAAGGTGGCTGAGTGGTAGAGCGCTTGCCTTGCATGCATGAGGCCCTGGGTTCTATTCCTCAGCACCGCATAAGCAAAAAGAAAAAAAAGCCGGAAGTGGCGCTGTGGCTCAAGTGGTAGAGCGCTAGCCTTGAGCTGAAGAGCTGAGGGACAGCGCCAGGCCCAGAGTTCAGGCCCCACAACCGGACCAAAAAAAAAAAATGTATACTCAAGGGCTGGGAAGGTGGCTCAGTGGTAGAGCACTTGCCTTGCATGCATGAAGATCTGCGTTCGATTCCTCAGTACTACATAAGCAAAAAGAAAAAAGCCAGAAGTGGCGCTGTGGCTCAAGTGGTAGAGCGCTAGCCTTGAGCTGAAGAGCTGAGGGACAATGCCCAGGCCCAGAGTTCAGGCCCCACAACCGGACCTAAAAAAAAAAAAAAGAAAAGAAAAAAACAGTGTCATGAACAAATGTGTAAATGTAACTGATGTGTTAGAGGAACAGTTTATAGATGTGTGTATGGGCACAGGGTATGTGGAAAGGTGTGAGAGAAAATATTTTCTCAAAATGTGCAAGATACTTTATAAACTTTGGATGTTTACATTGGGTGTTGGTGGCTCACATGAGCCTCTCAGGAGGCTGAGATCTGAGAATCTCAGTTTGAAGCCAGCCCAGGTAGGAAAGTCTACGAGAATCTCATCTTCAGTTGTCTACCAAAAGTCTGAAGTGCTTTTTGGCCAAAGCAGTAGAGCTCTGGCCTTGAGCAAAAAAGCTCAGGGATGGTGCCTACTCCCTTATTTCAAGCCCCATGACTGACATCAAAAACAAAAAAAGTAAAAGGTTCAGAGTTGTGGAAGTTTTTGGGTTTTTTTTGGTGTTGGTCCTGGGGCTTGAACTCCAGGCCTGATACTGTCCCTGGGCTCCTTTTTGCTCAAGGCTAGAGCTCTACCATTTGAGCCACAGCTCCACTTTTGGCTCTTTGGTAATATAATGTGGAAAGAGTCTCACAGACTTGCTTCCAAACACAATCCTCAGATCATAACCTTCTGAGTAGCTAGGATTTCAGCCATAAGCACCAGGGGAGTGACAAGAAAAGGTCAGACCAAAAGATAAATTACAAATAAATAAAAATCTCAGGGCTAGGAAGGTGGCTCAGTGGTAGAGCACTTGCCTTGCATGCATGAGACCCTGATTTTGATTCCTCAGCACCACATAAGCAGGAAAAAAAGCCGGAAGTGGCTCTGTGGCTCAAGTGGTAGAGCGCTAGCCTTGAGCTGAAGAGCTGAGGGACAGCACCCAGGCCCAGAGTTCAGGCCCACAACCGGACCCAAAAAAAAAATCTCTGAGTTCAACCCACTTGGGTTAAAATGGGCTACTGAAAATGCTGGATCTCGTGTGTTCAGAGATATAACCTTATTATTAGGAAAATTAAAGCACACTAACCTCTACCCTTTCATAGGTTATGTTTGACATCTAATCTCATACTTTGCTCTGGTAAAGACACAAGTATGCCGAGCGCTGGTGGCTCACACCTGTAATCTTAGCTACTCAGAAGGCTGAGATCTGAGGATTGTGGTTCAAAGCCAGCCTGGGCAGGAAAGTCTGCGAGGCTCCTGTCTCCAATAAACCACCAGAAAACTGAAGTGGTGCTATAGCTCAAGTGGTAGAGCGCTAGCCTTGAGCTGAAGAGCTGAGAGACAGCACTCAGGCCCAGAGTTCAAGCCCCACAACGGACAAAAAAAAAAACAAGTATGCCAAGGTTAGTGGGGATAGCTTAATAACAGAGCACACAGTTGCCATGCAGAAGGACTCTAGCTCAACCTCCAGCAGCCCAAAAGCAACACACACACACACACACACACACACACACACCTGTATGCCACCATCAGATGTTCTTTATATTTATTTATTTATATTTTTATGTACCTACCTGTCCTCTTTGCAGGTGAACAATTGCTTCTAAGATTTGCTAGTAAATATCAAGATTGTTAATAAGTAGGGAATAGCTGGGAAGTTGGCTCAGTGGTAGAGCACTTGCCTTGCATGCATGAGGCCCTGGGTTCGATTCCTCAGCACCACATAAGCAGAAAAAGCCAGAAGTGGTACTGTGGCTCAAGTGGTAGAGCACTAGCCTTGAGCTGAAGAGCTAAGGGACAGTGCCAAGACCCAGAGTTCAGGCTCCACGACCGGACAAAAAAAAAAAGTAGGGAATAAATGTTATTGATTGGTTTCTGACCAGCTTCTCTGTTTTCTTAGATAATTAAGTTGAAAGCTGAAGCCCGGCTGGACCTGTTAAAGCAGATTGGTGTGTCTGTGGACACATGGCTAAAGAGTGCCATGAACCAAGTAATGGAAGAACTAGAAAATGAGCGATGGGCTCGTCCTCCTGCAGCAACCAGCAATGGCACTCTACACTCGGTACATTTGCTTTTCTCATACATGGAGGGCTCATTGACCTTCACTGTTCGTTGATATTGTAGCCAAATTTAGCCAAAATTTAAAAGAAAGGATAATGTTTGCTAATGGTTTGGGTTTGCTGTTTTTTGTTTTGTCTTCCTTTAACCTGTTGCTTGATTTAGACTTACTACAGGGATTTTTTGTTTGTTTGTTTGTTTTTGCTAGTGGTGGGCTTGAAATCTGGGGCCTGAGTGCTGTCCCTTAGCTCTTCAGCTCAAGACCAGCACTCTACCACTTGAGCCACAGCACCACCAGTTTCCTGGTGGTTAATTGGAGATAAGAGTCTCAGGGACATTACTGCGCAGGCTGGCTTTGAACTGCAATCCTCAGATCTCAGCCTCCTGAGTAGGTAGGATTACAGGCATGAGCCACCTGCGCCTGGCAGTACAGGGATATTTTAAACTTAGTTTGAGTGTTTTAATATGCTGTGAAGAATGACTATTACTAATTGAATTATCAATGCCTCTCTATCAAACTCAATATTCATAAGGTAAACAGTAAAAATAGTACAATAGGAAACTTAATAGAGTGTCTCTGAAGTTCTCAGAGGTCTCTTTAGCAAAAATAAAAATAAAGCATCCAGAGAGTTATAGTACATCTTTTACAAATGTGTGGACCTACCCTAAAGTCAACTTCAATCCCCAAGGCTTTTGTCACTCCTGTCACTGGGAGCCAGTCCAAGTAGGGTTTGACGATAATACAAGGACCCTAGCTTGTTTTCATACTCAGTCCACTCTGTAACTTCCTGCTCAACCTTGTTTGTCATGCTGGAGATCTGAGTTCCAAAAAATTCAGTGATTTCTTTGCTATTACACAGGTGGGGATGTGATGCCTACTAGTCAATAACTCCTGTGGCATCTCACTTCCTTCTACTCTTGGTCATCTTTCTTCTTTATTTTCTTAATGTTATTTACAAGTGTGTGTTTCTCTCTTTTGTTTTCTTTTGTTGATTGTTTGCCTTGTTTACTACTCTCCATACAAAAGTGCCTGGTGCACAGTAGGTAAATATTTATTGAGAGAAGAAATGAGTATATGGATGGAAGAATAGAAAAGTGTTAAACTAAATAAGCTAAAACTTACATTTAGTGCCTCTTGAATGTTTGTGACCTTCAAATATAAGTTATCCTTGCTGGAGAAAACAATGAACTTTTAAAGCATTCTAGGAAGTTGTCAATTTTTTTTCATATAGGATTCTGATATTCTAATGGAACTGTACTTACACACTTAAAAATGATGTGTGGCTAGGAATGTGGCTTAGTGGTAGAGTGCTTGCCTACCATGCATGAAGCCCTTGGTTCAATTCCTTGGTGCCACATAAATAAAAAAGCCAGAAGTGGCACTGTGGCTCAAGGGCTAGAGTGCTAGCCTTGAACAAAGAGAAACTCAGGGATAATGCCCAGGCCCTGAGTTCAAACCCCAAGATTGGCAAAAAAAAAAAAGGGGGGGGGGGAACCTGGGAAGGTGACTCAGTGGTAGAGTGCTTGCCTTGCATGCATGAGGCCCTGGGTTCGATTCTTCAGCACCACCTATGCAGAAAAAGCCGGAAGTAGCACTATGACTCAAGTGGTAGAGCACTAGCCTTGAGCTGAAGAGCCTGAGGGACAGCTCCCAGGCCCATCGTCCAGGCCCCATGACCAACAAAAAAAAAGTGTGTAATTATACATTTGAAGGAAAAACAATCAGTTTAAACCTTTATTTTATTTTATCTTATTTTTGGTCAGTCATGGGTCTTGAACTCTGGACCTTGGTGAGGTCCCTGAGTTCTTCAGCTCAAAGGAAGCTCTCTACCACTTGAGCCACAGCATCACTTCCAGTTTTCTGGTGGCTAATTGGAGATAAGAATGTCATGGACCCCGGGCACCAGTGGCTCACGCCTGTAATCCTAGCTACTCAAGAGGCTGAGATCTGAAGATCGTGGTTCAAAGCCAGCCCAGGCAGGAAAGACCATGAGACTCCTATCTCCAATAAACCACTAGAAAACTGGAAGTGGCGCTGTAGCTCAAGTGGTAGAGCACTCGCCTTGAGCTGAAGAGCTGAGGGACAGTGCCCAGGCCCAGAGTTCAAGCCCTACAACCAACAACAACAAAAAAAGAATGTCATGGACTTTCCCACTCAGGCTAGCTTTGAACCATAATCCTCAGATCTCAGCCTCCTGAGTAGCTAGGACTACAGACTTGAGCACTATAAACAGTAATCCAGCCAGGGAAAACATACACAAACATACACACGCAAACACACCCCATCCACTTGACTTTGTGGTTAGAACTTGCCCTATTTCCAACCAAACCCATGATTGTTCTTGGGCTAGCACCTTTCTTACTCAATCACCTGAGTGGACATGTGACACCCAACTCTGTGTTTTTTTTCTGGGCAGATAACAAAGGTTAGTCTCCCCTTAAAGTTTACAAGCTGGTCTCCTTTAAGTTCACAAGCTGGGAAAACAAACAGATCTTTATAGATCCTGTTGATGCTTGGCAGTGTATAACTGGGCCACTGTATGGCAAACTAGAAATTGTTCACTTCTTACTCTTCCAGCACAGCTTGGAAAAAATCACTTATTTCTGGATTTCTTAGAAAATGTTATACTAAATTACTCTAAAATCCTGTCCAACCCCAAGATTTCTGGTTCTATGACATATTTTCAGAAAAGTTCAATGCTAGCTGGTTGTGGCAGCTTTAATTTACCCTGCAATCCTAGCTACTTGGGAGGCAAAGATGAGGGAATTGTGGTCCAAGGACAGCCCAGCTCCTCCCACCCCTACCCAAGAAGAAAAAGTTCAATCAGTGGCTTGATGTGGTAGTGTACCCTTTGTCATTTCAGTGACATAGGCAGCATCAATAGAAAGATTGCAGCCCGTGCTAGCCTGAGGATAAAGCAAAACCTATCCCAAAAAATAACCAACATGAAAAGGACTTGGAAGAGTGTCTCAGGTAGTAGAGCACCTGCCTACAACATGGGAGACCTGTGTTCAGCCTCCTAATACCACCAAAAATGGAAAAGAAGAGATGGGAAAGGAGAGACGAAAGGAAGGAGAAAAATAGAGAAGAAATTTTGCCCATGAAGAAAATGTCACTGTGAGGAATTTTAGTAAGGGATCTAGAAAAAGGGTTCCTTAATATGAATGAAGGAATTTGTATTTTTTTCCCAGTCTAACATTCCTCATCATTGGGCTGTTCTTCATATTCATCCTTTTAAGTGACTGTATACTAGGAAGATACTTCAGAATTAACTTTTCTAGTGGCTTATAGACACCAGCTTATCTGGATATGTCTCTTTCTTTGAGAAGGGGCTTGTAGTCTCGTCCCATGTTTCCCTTCTTGTAGCTATTCTTAATGGAGAACAAGTCATCCTTCTTCCAGATAAGAGGTTGTATTTTAGCCGGCTCACACCTGTAATCCTAGCTACTCAGATGGCTGAGATCTGAGGATCTCAGTTGAAAGCCAGCTCCAGCCAGAAAGTCTGTGAGACACTTAAAAAGCTGGAAGTAATGCTGTAGCTCAAGTGGTAGTGTATTAGCCTTGAGCAAAAGGAGCTTAGGGACAGTGCGCAACCCAAGTTCAAGGCCCAGAACTTGGGGGGGGGGGAGAAAAGAAAAGACAAAATAGATTTTGTGGAAGATCTACCAGTAATATAAATAAAGGAGAGAGTAAAGCAAAAATAGATTAATGGAGCCCCAGTAGTGGCTTAACCTGCTTTTAAATAACTTAGAGAGGACTGTATCTGTTTATACTGACAGCTGACTGGCTGAGGAACAGGAAGCAGGAATAACTCATTCTGGCAACCAAATATTTTCTCTCATTGTAGCTGCCAACAAAAGCATTAGTCATCTGGAAAACATGATTAATGCTACTGTTTGACATTAACAGTATAACTAAACTAAAAAATGCCTTATGGAAGATAAATGTTTTGGAAGTATATAATCTATGTACTTTTAGAATAAGGATGTGAACTCTTTGCCTTCTGTCTCATGTCATGGTATGGAATATAAGGTTGGGAAGGGGAAAACAAAAAACAAAAAATGAGAAGAATCCCAGAGTTTAATAACACTATCCTAAAGAAGAGCAGTCCAATGATACTGATATTTAGTTAAAGGTTTCTGAAGCCTACATGAACTTCTGAGATTGGACTGCTGCCAATGACCAGATCAATCTTTTCTCTTACTCTCCTGCTGTCTCTTACTCAAAACCTATATATAGTTTGCAACCTAATTTTTGAAATTATATTAATCTTATAATAGAAATGTAAGAAGAGGGAACAACTGATGCTATGCAAAACAAAAGAAATGTACATACCACCCAATGTGGAAGAAATACTGTATCGCAAAGCTCATAGAACTCATAAATGTTATAGACTGTGATAGACAGTTTGCTCCAGGAAAGTTAGAATGTGTTTGTGACTTTAACTGATCATCACTATCCCACAATACTGTGAAATTTGGGAAATTATGTAACCACTTAATCACAATAAAAAACTTGAAAAAAATAATGGAAATATAAGTAGGATTATAGAAAATTTTGAAATACTATAGAAAAGCAAAAAATCAGCTCCTCAACAATATTTTCCCTCCATTTATTTTAATTTTGACAAGTACAAATCATATGTGTGTATATATATATTTATGCATGCAAACATTTTAAAAGGTACTCCTCATTTTACTGTTTTGTTTTTCCAGACCTGGGGCTTGAACTCAGGGCCTGGGCACTGTCCCTGAGCTTTCTTTGCTCAAGGCTAGTGCACTACCACTTGAGCCACCCCGCCACTTTCGGCTTTTTCTCTTTATGTGGTACTGAGAAATCAAACCCAGGGCTTCATGCACGCTAGGCAACATTCCCAGTCCCTCTTTTTTAAACATACATAAAATTAAGTTAAATTTGTACATTTTTCCAATCTAACATTCTTCATCGCTAGATGATCTTTATAATTATTATTTTAGTGTCTCCTTAGAAAGGTATTAGAAAGG